CCCCGGATCTTCCAGGACCGTCGGGGGTTTCCATGTATTTAGGAGAAACCAGGACGGTCTTGGAAGATCCAGGATCGAGTCTTACCGTGAGGAGTTACCGTGACAGGGGTTTGTCTGCCTTTAAGGATATCGCTGAGCTGCCTACATTCTAGCCCCACAGAGGACGGGCCATAACCTGGAGTTTGGTAACAGCAGGCCCAAGTACCGGTACAGGCCAAACGTTGCGTTGGATGGATACGACGACTTTGAACCACATTTCTTGATATTATGCCTGGTGTCCGACCACATGGTGATGGAACATCGCCGGTCCAGTCGGGTGCAGTGCGCTGACGATTGCAATGCACATCATTGAAGTCCACGAAACTACAGTGTAAAGCGAATCGATACACATCGCGAACAAGAAACTCACGGAGAGATTCCGTGGCCGGTCCCGACATGCACGGCAACGCGCACGGAACGTAAGCCACAGCTGGGAAGAGATCAAATCTTCGTGATCGGGCGCGCCAGCAGACAAACACACCTTTTCGGTAAAGTTCGTCTTTGATGTAAATACCCAGGTGGTCCTGCGTTTAAGTTCATAAGTATGTGTTTACTTTTGCTTAGGTCCGTTTCCTGTATTTATTTACAAGTCAGGTGAACGCCAGACAAAGACTTGTCGTAACAGGCTTTGCGCCAGTTCCTACACCTACCTTGGCCTGCGGCGCTAGCCTTCCTTCGCCAGGCAGTATGGCAGGTATCGGCGCTCAAATCGACATGATAACAAGTCGAAATACCCGAATAGGCAGCAAAGAGAGCAAGAAAAACTCAAATTGCCCTAAAGAACTTAAAAAATGGACGCAGGAGTCTGAAATTTTAATAATCCTTATCTTATGAAGTGTACAAAATAAAGGAGAAAGACGTGACAATCCAAGGGGGTCGAAACGAGGTCCTTCCTTTTAAATAATCCTCTGATTCAATGAGGGTGAAAACGCCAATTTAATTATCAGCTCCGACCGGCCACGCCCACTGCGAATAAGTCCTTTAGCCTATTACCACCAAATGGAACGCTTAGGCTGGATCTTGAAATGTGTCGACGCCGTAATAGATCCTGGTAAACGGTCTGGAGGTATTTTACCAAACGAATCCCTCACCAGCTGGACCACCTTCTTTGCGGAAAACTGCTCTAGAAATCGAAGAGCGTACATTGCATGCCCTAACTGGAGCATGCCTGTAAGTACGCTCTAGCTAGCGCATGCCTGCCAAGCATGCACTAAAGTGCCTACATGCCATGTACACGCTAACTGAAGCATGCATCTAGTGCATAAGGGATAGCGTGTACATGTATGCACTAGTAAGTGCACGCTTGGCAGGCATGCGCTAGCTGGAGCGTGCTTGCAGGCATGCTCCAGTTAGAGCATACAATGTGCGCTCTTCGATTTCTAGAGTGAATTACAATCCGCCTCTGGGCACAGTGTCGGCGTACGCCACGAAACACCCGAGCGTGTCTTGATAGTGGTTCTCCATAAGTCGCAATGTGAGGCGCCATTTGCCGTAGTAAAAGGCCGGCATGGCACGAATTCGGAAGTCCGTTGACATGTTTCGGACATGGTATACGCCCTGCGAGAGAACATTTTAAAGTGATAAGTGGTTTACACTCTACAAACTGAAGTGTGTACTCAGTATGCATCTACAGATGCATACTTGCAAGTACACACCTACAGATGCGTACTCAGCTGAGTACACATCTACAGATGCATACTCAGCTGAGTACACATCTACAGATGCATACTTGGCTGAGTACACACCTACAGATGCATACCTAACCTCTCCAAGTATGCATCTGTAGATGTGTACTCAGCTAAGTATGCATCTGCAAGTGTGTACTTGCAAGTATGCATCTGTAGATGCATACTGAGTACACACTTCAGTTAGTAGAGCATGTCGTCAAAAATTAAATAAAATCCGGTCAAAATTTGCATTTGTAAAAAAAAAACGCAACATTCCAACTGCAGTAACAAATTATAAACAAAACTAAAAAGGAAAGATAATTCTTCACACACAAACTGCAAAAAAAATCAAACTTTGTGATCGACCAACAACGCAAATGTAAAAATTCACCTTAAGTGCAATGTCCAACACTGCGAGAAAAGATCACGGTAAATCCTGTACTGATTACTCCAGACTTCACCGTACCTTTTTTAACAGGCAATAGCGTACTTTTTATACAGGCAATACCGTACTTTTTGGCCCGCCCTTCTATTCAAAAAATAGGGGGAACGCCTATGCATTTGCCTTTGTGTCTGTGTGTTGTTGTTGTTGTTGGTGTCTGTGTACAAGGAAGGAGTTGAGCTAGAGTAACCAGATTTGGAGGGTACTTCAGGAGTACCGTCCAAACAAATAATCCGGTGGTGCAAATCCCGTCCGGGTCGCACAAGGGCTGGGTGATTCCGTGCGTAGGGGGTCATTTTGGATGTACCAATGTTCTTTTTTAAAGTTCAACTTTAGGGGCTAAATTTGGTGTAGATGGCATACATAGTAGGGTGGATCTTAAATTCTGACCCCCGGTTTTATTGGCGAAATGGGGTCCCTAGGATAGTAGAAGATCGTTAACGAGTTGCATTTGATCCGTAAAAAATTGTATCAGCTTTAGGGGAGGGCTCAAAACTGGGTCAAAACGCCAAAGTTGGTGGTTTTTCAAGTATTGCCGCCGAACCAGATGAAATATCAAAACGCCTGAGGTCTGAAAAGATGCGGAATTTAATTACCTTTCCAACGAGCTATGAGTCATTGTTGCAGCACAAATATTTCCACTTGAATCATTGCATTTTATGCCGAAAAGTGGGGTCAAAAATATTAAAATCAGTCCAATTTCGGTAGGGTGGAGTTCTAAAATAGGCCGAATCGACATCTCTTCAAAGAAATGGATGGGTCTCAACAAGACAAACAAAAAATGTCAACACATGTTTTAGGCTAAGATGCGAAATGAAGCAGTATTTTTAGCCTCAAAAGTGCCAAAAATCTTCGTTTTTCCACCAAAAAGGACATTTAGCGTGATTTTTTCGGGGTCTAAGGAGCTTTGGTCACGAACCTGCTGGGAGTCCGGGACTTTTCCTTTCAGATTTGAGTTAAGGTGGTCCCGGCTCACCTGGAAACCGAGTTTGGTCAAGTTCCGGCCAGCCGGCTGGCCCTTTTGATGGAAAAAGGATGATTTTTGGCACTTTTGAGGCTAAATTACTGCTTCATTTCGCATCTTAGCCTATGGCATGTGTTGACATTTTTTGTTTGTCTTGTTGAGACCCATCCATTTCTAGAAAGAGATGTCGATTCGGCCAATTTTAGAACTTCACCCTACCGAAATTGGACTGATTTTGATATTTTTCACACTAAATTCTTATGGACTTTTTAATGCATAGTTATGCATGCACAGATACGTCCATATGTTATGTATAATATTATGCATCACTGTGTACATTTTATGCAGGAAGACGCATAAAATGTGCACAGTGATGCATAATTTTATACATACCTTATGGACGTTTCTGCGCATGCATAACTATGCATAAAAAATGCGTCCTTATGCATTTAAAAAGTCTATAAGAATTTAGAGTGTTGACCCCACTTTTCTGCATAAAATGCAATGATTCAAGTGGAAATATTTGTGCTGCAACAATGATTCATAGCTCGTTGGAAAGGTAATTAAATTTCTCATCTTTTCAAACCTCAGGCGTTTTGATATCTCATCTGGTTTGGCGGCAATACGTGAAAAACCACCAATTTTGGCGTTTTGACCCAGTTTTGAGCCCTGCTCTGAAGCTGATACAATTTTTTCCGGATCAAATGCGACTCGTTAATGAACTTCTACTATCCTAGGGACCCCATTTCGCCAATAAAAACGGGGGGTCAGAAATTAAGATCCACCCTAATACATAGTACCCCACAGTACCCCTCTGAGCGTAGCAGCGCTACAAGTTGACTTTTATTTTCACTCCCTATGAAATACGGCGGAATTTACAGAAATAATGACGGAATTTACAGATTACGGAATTTACAAAGCGAAGTATTTAGTCTCCTGAACCGCTGGGTTACAAGATAGGTACTCTACAAATCAAAGTGTGTACATGGTATGCTCTAACTGGAGCATGCCTGCAAGCACGCTCTAGCTAGCGCATGCCTGCCAGGCATGCACTAACTAGTGCATACATGCCATGTACACGCTAACTGAAGCATGCATCTAGTGCATAAGGGATAGGGAGTTGTCTGCATCAGGAAGCGTGTACATGGTATGTATGCGCTAGTAAGTGCATGCTTGGCAGGCATGCGCTAGTTAGAGCGTGCTTGCAGGCATGCTCCAGTTAGAGCATACCATGTACACTCTTCGATTTGTAGAGTAAAAACTTTTGACGGTGTCACTTTCAGCATCCAAAATAGCATTTTTCAGCGAAGGTTGTGGGAACTTTCTCCCTCAGATGGAGGAGCTACGGCCCGAAACGGAATTTACATCCATTTTTACACCCTTACCGTTTTGAACTCTTCTGACGGCCTGGAACCGTCGTTTGACCGCCCCAGGTCCCGTGGGCACGGGCTTCTGGAAGTGTTTTTTAAGTTCTTTCGATCCCAAGTGGTCGCGAGTTTCTAAAATGAAAAGGAACCCCAGTAGACCGTCATTTGTAAAAACAGCATAGGTCACATGGTCAAACGGTGGACATTTTCCCAAAGGCTGTTTCGGGTTCAACAAGTGATGATACAAAGGTCACCCTCCGTAATTTTGTGAAGAATAAGTCAGGGGAGAGAGTGAAATAGCCAGTTTTCTTTTGATGTGGCTGAGTCATATACTACAGCATGGCAATGTTGTCTTGTAGGTGTTGGTGACCATGACGGAACTTACAAAACGACACTTTAGCAGCTTACGAAACCCAGATAAACAAAAGTTAGATCGACTTATCCACATGAGGACATGGTCTTCTTTTAGTAAAACAAATTTGAATTGCCCAAGCTATCAAATCACCCTCAGTTCAGGCGCAAGGCCCCGGTGACCTGAAATGACCCCCTACGCATGGAATCACCCGGCTGCTGCAGGTGCATCATGGTTTACATGAGCGGGAGGGGGATTTCCGCCATTATTGGTGCTAGCAGGGCACATAGGGGTATTTTTGGAATCGGGGCGACGAGACAAGATGAATGGACCTGGTCCCAACCCCATCGGCCGCTTTTACAAGTTGGCCAGATCAGGATCTTCAAAAAAGGGGGTCGACCGACTAAAAAAATTTATTGCAGATTTCGATTGGTCTCAGCAAGACCTTTTCAACGAGGGGTCGGAAAGGGGGTCCAGGAGCCCGACTTCGTCTATTAGTCACATCAGGATCTTAAAAAAAGGGGGTCGACCGACTGAAAATTTTTACTTAAGTTTTCGATAGGTCTTGGCAAGACCTCTTCAACGAGGGGTCGGAAGGGGGGTCCGGGAGCCCGCCTTCATGAGTTATGGGAAAAAGTGCGACGGACTCGTTTTGCGCTCCTGCTGTGCCTCTATTGCAAGGAGTTGCAGTAGCATGGCAAATATGGGTATTTTCGGAATGAGGGCTAAGAGACAAATGAAATGGGCATATTCTAAGGACAGTTGGAGTAAAAAAGTGTAAGGACTATTGCATATTGTGAATAGAAGGGCGGGCCTAAGTCACGATGGTACATCGATAACTTTGCTTTACCCGCTCACGGGGTGTGTGATGCGAGCGGGCCGAAGGCCCGGGCCTTCGACTGGCCAAGTTGGGTCTGATGCGAGGGCCGAAGGCCCGAGGAAAGGCCGCCGGCAGGCCAAGCTGGGCCGGCCCCCTGTCGAACCGAGTTGCCGGCGCAGCGAAGCGAAGCTGGCATCTCGGTTCGACGGAAGGGCGGGCCCTAGCTTGTTTTACAGGCAACACCGTACTTTTTAACAGGGAATTCCGTACTTTTTTACCCGGCAATCCCGTACATTTAATACCTATCCAAAACTGCTATAATTTTTTTCAGTCGGTCGACCCCCTTTTTTCAATACCATGATGTGGACAATTCTTGGGAGCAGCCTTTGTTGGGAACAGATCTGCTCCTTCCTACGGCACGGACTGTACGGAAGAACGGTAACTACTGTTAAAAGACTACGGAAAAACAAGTACGGTACATACTGTAGACTACACTCAGATTCCAAACGCTGTGAGTATAGCACGTATGGTGCAATGCGCTGTGATATCGCACCATACGTGGAATGCCACAGCCATATTGCACCTTTGATGCAATGCTTCCCGAAAAGGCCCTATGCTAATGCATGGGAATTTGGAGGCATTGCACACTGTGGAAAAAAATCACAGTAAATCCTGTAGTGATTAGTACAGCTGTCACTGTAGTTCAGAGTACAGGATTTACTGTACTCTTTTAACAGGATCTACTGTACTTTGTACGGGATTTACTGTACCACAGGGGTGGAGTACGGAATATCCTGTACCAGGTACAGTAGATACTGTAGCCAGTCACGGTAAATACTGTGTTCTGAACTACAGTAAATCCCGGCAAAAAAATTAACGGGATTCACTGTGGTTTTTTCGCACAGTGCACTTCATGTGCAATGCTTTTGTATTGCACCTATTGACGCTATACTCATGGCGTTTGGATTCTCAGTGTATACGGTGGATACTGGTTTTTGCAGTACGGTAAAGTTTGGCAAAAAGTTATCCAGGATTTACCTTTATTTTTTCTCAGAGTGAAGTGAGAAGTTTTGTGTCGTAAACCTATTCGATTTGACAATGAACAAAGTTTTCAGAAGAAACCGTCGTGTAGTGGCCAGCCCGCAACACCGACGAGCGTAGATTAGAATACCGATACGATCCGAATTCCTGACTTAGCGCACGACGTGCACGTTTCATCAAAGACTTCTCTCTCCAAGGAGAGAAGGTTCAACGTCAAAATTTTGTGTTTCTGTCCGACTTTTCTTCAGGCTGGCCGTGTCTCTTTAATCAGACCACTTAGTTTAAAATTTTTAGTTCATCTAATTCAAAACCTTGATCCTTCGACAACAACAAAAAAATGTTTGAATCATGTATGAGCCATCTCCACGCTGTATTCTCCTTACCGGCGGCCACGGACAGTCAGCGTCGGCGTCACCATTGACCGCCACCATGATTTTCCGCCAGGCTTGAGGCGCGTAGGTCTTGAAGGCCGAGCAGTAGTGCTTTACTCTAAAAATGTATGCGTTCTCCTTCCAGCCACCGCGGCTGCTCCACGAAGCAAAGTTAATGTCAACCTGACGACAGTCAGAAGAGTGTTATTGCACGTTAGGAAGTAAATGTCCTCATAACGTTGGATGTTTCAGGTTACAATTTTTAATACCACAACAAATCCAAGGGTCAGACTTTTCGCCACTTCAGAGGTGAGAAAAGTTTTGGTCAGACCTGAAAGTCTCGCCAAATTTCGGTCAGACATGTCTCGCCACAAAATGGTGAGACTTTCTTGTATGTCCGTTGCTCCGCATGGACTATCATTAGCGCCTTTACAGCGGCAGACAAAATCGCCATTTTTGAGGCAAGACATTTTCGTCTGACCGAATATTGGCGAGACTTTCAGTTCTGACCAAACCTTGACGCCAAGTCTTTCGGTGTAATTTGCAGTGACGCCAATCCAATCAAATGCCACAGCAGTAAAGTCAAGGTGAGGGGGCAATACTCGAATTATACTCAAAAATTGACTTACTAAATAGTAATTGTTTCATATACACTGAGAATCCAAACGCTATGTGTATAGCGTCAATTGGTGCGATGCAAAAGCATTGCACATGAAGTGCAATACCTCCCCATTCCCATGCATTAGCATAGGGTAGGGCATTTTCGGTACGCATCGCACGTAAGGTGCAATATGGCTATCGCATTGCACGTATGGTGCGCGATATCTCAGCTGCATTGCACCATACGTGCTATACTCATAGCGTTTGGAATCTGTGTAGCAAGTGATAGCACGTATTTCTTGTCATGTCTAACGTACGTAACAACAGAAGCATTCAGAAGCCAAGAATTTTGTCAACCGGACAGCTGCTACTGCTACGCTCCCTCTTGGCTTAAATGCTTCTCTTGCTGTTCACTTTAGACGTTGGAAGTTTGATCAAGGTGCAACAACTCACTGTGAAGCAATCACCTAAAAGATGAGACACATATCCAAGTTGCAATTGCTCTCAATCGGAAGCGCTTTATGTTATTTCGGACGGTCCTTATGCCTTCCACCCTCCGAGCCACCAATATAGCATTTGCAAGACGAGTTTTTTCAAGTTCGAAGCCGAACGCGCATGCCTAGCAAATTTTGACTTTCTAGTGAGCATTCGCGAGGAACCTGGGGACTCACGTCCTGGTCATTCGTCCACGTGAACAGGGTCGTAAAGTTGCCACTGTAGTACCAGAGATCTGGGTCATGCCGGTCGCGTGTTTGCATCACGTAGAAATCGAGAGGCTTCGCAGGCTGCAAAGCGGGTGGGCAATGGGTCACGTAGCGAGGTATTATGCGGAAAGGCCCCTGTGCAGAAAAAAAGCCACGAAAACTGGTCGCCCATCTCAACTTTTTCGGGTCGTGATAACATTCCCTTAGGAAGACAGAAATGGTTAAATCTTGTAGAGCTACCCTTGGAGCTACCCCTGGAGCGACATGGATAGATCCTATTGCCATTCCCTTAACGGCCCACTTGGAAGCCACTCCGAACACTCACGGGAAAAGCGGTTCCTAGTTTTCCCAGGAACTCCCTGGAAATCGCCTATGTCTCCACCATGGGCTTCCTGGAAAAACCAGGTACCGTTTTTACCGGGCTGTGGCAAAAAGCTACAGAAAATTATGTGAACAGCTTGTGGTAATTCTCCGTATACTCCCTTGTTCATATTCTCCATAGGGCCTTACAGTATTCTTCGTAGGACCTTACAGTGGTCTCTGTAGGACCATATGGTCTTCCAGGTTCTACGGAGACGACTGTAAGGTCCTACGGAGGATGCTGTAAGAGCTAACAGAGAATATTGACAAAAGGGCTGCGGAGAATCTTGGCAAATAAAGAGCGTATACACTAAGCGTATTGCTTACCGCTGTATTGCTGATTGCTTTTTGAAAACTGCGGTTCGACAGTGTGACAATTAGTACCACGACAAGTTCCGAACCTCGTCGTAACATAGCGGTGAATGGAGATCAGAACACTTCAACTGAAGGGGCTGCACTGCAAAAATAAGTGCATGTAGCTCTCCACCGGGAAGACAGAGCATAGCACAAGTAAAAGGATGCGTAAAGTGTTCAAAATGGGTTTAAAATCCCCGAATAAAAAAGATTTTGTTCATTTCATGTGAAAATACAAAGATAACTGAGAATGAAAAAGTCAGATCAATACCCAATATTGGGCGAAGTATACTTATCACCCAAATTTGGGCGAGGATTATTTCCTCGCCCAAATTTGGGTAAGTAAAGGTGTATCCGCTACCTACATGGCTCCAGTATTATGACCCAAATTCGGGCGAGGAAACCTTCCTCACCCAAATTCGGGTGATAAAGAATTCCTCGCCCAAAAGTTTAGTCATGATCATGACTCTTTCATTCTCAGTGATGTGTGGCTTTAGCGGTAGCCATTCAATCAATAAATTTCAGTTTCAGAAAGGCAAATTCCGTCAACAAACACTGAGAGACGGTTGACAGAACTAATGACCTCGGACTATCGACTTCGGACTATTGACCTTGGACTATGTATACACACATAGATATAAGATAAGATCAATAATAAGATACCTACATAGTAAACTAAAGGTATCAGGAGAGAGGGGACAGTTTGAACGTTCAAATTTCCCAACAGGGTGCTTCGCTTCGCTCAGCAAATACACAATCGCCATCCCTATCGGGGGCTCCTTAAACCGCGCCTGATGTATACCCGGCCTTCCTAACCAAGTCGAACCCACTAAACATTAGTGTCAGTTGAAATGATTAAAATGTTTTTATCGCTTTTGCACACTGCGCAAAGCTGTTTAAAAACGATACTGATCCCGATAATACTCGTACTCTTCCATCGCAGATTTCGACGCTTTCTAATAGAATGATCCTGTCTGTCAGAGTAGATCTCAGGAAATCCTAACTGTAAGAGCAGATTCAAGACAATCCTTACTGTCAGTGTCATTTCAGAACTATCCTAACTGCACATGACGTGAAAAGCGGTCTTTTCTAGAAGTCCGTGACACCAACATACTGTATTTCACAAAACACCGAGGGGCTTGTTGGGAAGTTTCATCCTTAATACGTGGACAATGTATTCCAGAGATATCGAGATCCTCTGATTTGTAGTAAAGATCGTTCATCATCACTTTAAGGTACCCCTGGAGTTAAGATAGTTCTTAAACTGCACTGACAGTTAGGATTATCTTGACTCTGCTCCGACAGTTAACATTATTTAATTAGGACGCATCGATTTGCGACTTCTGGAGATGCCGCACAGGTAGCTTGATAGCGATTAGACGTACGACACTATTAATGAATCAGCAAGTTATACCACAGGTTTCCTACTTGTATTCTTTTATTTGCAATATCGGCCCCCCAAAAGGGGCTCTGAAGAAAAAAAAACGAAAAAACCGCCAGTATCTGTTCCGATCCTACACCCTCTTGCAGGTTCGGACTTCAATTTGCACTTTTGAATATCATGGTTGTCAATTTTCTTCACAGCTACCTGTCAGTTTGTACTTTTAAACAGGAATCCAAACTTGTAGGCCTCTGCAAACACTGTGGGTGACCGCGGCGTTACTCGGGCGCGGCACAATTGAGAAGGCTGAATAGGAATCCACGCCGCATTCACTGACCTTGAGGGGTTGCACACGACCACAGCCATAAATACACGAACAATGTAAGGATTACGGTTGGAGTGGACTACCGAGTCAACTTGTTCAACATTCAGGCCTGTACGTTTGTTTTACTCTAACTTTTTGCTGGTGTATTTACTTGTTGTACAGTCGTCGCACTGTCATTCATTTTGCGATACTTTTACTACAAATTTTTGCGATAAAACCCAGTTTGCGATTCCCACGATTTATCGCACCCTGGAGTGCGATAATTTTGTTATTGCAATTTTTTTGCAATAACCACCACATAATTTTTGCGATAAAAGAGCGTTTTGTAGTAATTTTTATCGCATTTTTTCTGTGATAACTTTTTATTGCATTTTCTTTGTAGTCATTATCGCAAAAAAGTGATACTTTATTGCAAAATTTAGCTATAAATTTTTTATTGCAGATTTCTAGTAGTCATCATAGCAAAAAAATGTGATAAGTTTTTTATTGCAAAATATATACAGTGGTTATCGCAGTTTGAATAACAGTGCGTTTGTTGTACACATTATGGACTTTTTTTCCTACCACAGAGGATGCTGGGAACATGAAAGCTGAACATACTGAGTTTGCTTTGCCTCCATGCCGGTCATTTCATCGCCCGAAACTCATTTAATCTTGCTTCTATACAGCTCAATTCTTACTGACACTTTCAAAATAATTAGTTAATTGATGCAAGGTCGTAGGTCGATGTTTCATTTTAATGCTAGCATATAAGTTCGCGACTGTTTTCCAACTTTTGATGAAACAAAATTTGCAGAAGCTATTTGACTGTCAACTAACAAGTATGAAAGGTAGACAACATGACAACATTATAAATTTGTCACATCATACACTGATAACAATAAGACAAATGCACTTACAGTTTTGATTTCTTCTCTGTTTTCCATCCTCATTGATCTGCTGAGGCAAATTTTCGTTTTTCTTAAAAGAAAGAAATAATGCACATCAAAATACAAGTGATAATCAACTATGAGAGAATGCATTGAAGTCTTTTCATTTTATGAAGTGTATAAATACTGCCTTACCAGTATCATTTGTCTTAACTCTTCATTTTGCTTCAGAACATTGTTTGATGACTCCTTCAGCTCCTCACCCCAGCGTTCAACTTCTTTAAACCGAATGGTAAATTAGAATTGTCATGGGAGAAGAGAATTTCATGTTTCATGTAAACCAGGGGTCCGGAACGGGGCCTTCTCCGTTCCAAGATCCACGAGTTCCCCGTTCCGTTCCGGATCCGAACGAGGAACACGTTGTTTTCTTTTGGAACCGCTCCGGCAATGGATCCACCTGACTGTACCACTCGGACCCGGTCTGCGGACCATTATTACCTCCGTTCCGCGCTCGGACCCGTTCCACGGACCAGATCACTCTGTTCCACTCGGACCGGACCCGATCCGCGGACGAATAAGACGAGTCCGTTCCGCTCGGACCCGGCCCGTGCGCAAGGTCGCTCTGTTCCGCTCGGAACCAAAACGGCAATGGGTTTGAATTGGCTGATTTGATCGACCTGTTGATTAAGGCAAAAAATCAATTGTGGGTCACATTTTTGAAAATTCCAAATTAAGGCCTTTAATTTTGACCTGATGACAAAAGTGCATGTGCGGCCTTTAACAATGGTCCTTGGACTAAGTTTTGCATCATAGCAGCCCCGTCTATCATCCTTGTTTACTAAGCTGTGGCTGTTTTAAAAATAGTCTGTTTTGGCCCACAATTGATTTTTGGAACCAGTTGTGGGTCAGCATTGTAGAAAGCTCAAATTTGGATATGATTTGCTTAGATGCGAAAGGAATTCACTTTTGAACTTATTTTTCGGAATCGTGAAAACTGCAGGATCTGTAGCACAATGAATTAATTGTGGGTCATATCAATTGTGGACCATTTCGTCTTTTTGCTTGTAAATTGGCCACTTTTGCAAGATATTTTCTTATTTTCATTAATAAAAGGTCCCTGGTTCTCAATAAACCAAGCAGGCACGTTTTTCACTCAAAGAGGAAAAATACATAAACAGGCTTATTTCACTGTGAGACAGATGTGAGTTAAACGTCCTGGATTAGAGACGAAACTTTTACAGTGCATATTCTAGGGCCGCCGTTGTGGTAGACAATCCAACGCCACACCCTGTCATCGTGAAGTATTGCTACAGTGCGGACTGGCCTCGGGTGCCTAGCCTGCAGTTGGAGAGCGGTCCCCTTCCGGGCGCTATGTAAGCCCCGCAATGCCCCCCCCCCTCCCCAACAAAAAAGAAGCCTTATGGCGGACTGGAAGTAAGAGCTAGCGTTGTCATTCGGGGCTGTACCCTAAGCTTAACCACCTTCCTATCGTAGGACTAAAATGTGACAGTGCAGAAAAATGAAATTTACTGTGATACACCAGTCATTCAGAAGCGCAGAAAACAAAAAAAAATAATAAGAAAAACTACCGTAAAATTCGTCTAAGAAATGGGTCGGACATGGTAGCGAACGCTACTTTGCCATCACCCGCGCACCATGGCATCGAATGATTTCGGCTGTACTATGGTAAATTTATGTTCCCTGACCTATTATGAACCTAAATCAGCAAGGGCGTCCCGTTTTACCTAGTAATAGCTTCACGGTGGCAATTTGAAAAACACAAGGGGAAACTACTTTGAATTTTGGTGTACATGGCCGTGAATTTCATGAATTTTTTGAAATTTTTGCATTTTAGTTGAATTTTTATGAATTTTGACAAACTTCAATGAATTTTTGTGAATTTTCAAGATTTTTTTGAATTTTGATGAATTTTTTGAACTTGGCTGCAGTTTTTGAATTTCATGAATTTAGATGAATTTCTATGAATTTCTCTGTTTTCTAATGGAATTTTGATGAATTTCAATGAATTTTTGGGCCTTTGATCGCCCAGGCCATCTAGGACAGTGGTTCTCAACTTTAGGGTCGCGACCCCAAGCGGGGTCGCGAAATTTTTTTAAGGGGTCGCGGCGATGCTGGGGTCGTGTTTTAGGCCGATTTTAAGCAGCCACTGCGTCTGATCCGAGGCGGGCATTTTGCTCCCTCAACGGGCAGTTGGTCTTTGGACCTTCCTTTAGCATGCCTTTGTTACGGAGTGCAATTATCAGTCTTAGTTTGGGAGCAGTATTGTCTCAAAGTTGGCCGAAACGCTCAGAAATGTCTATGAAAAATCGTGTTTTGGGCCGATTTTAAGCAGCCACTGCGTCTGATCCGAGGCGGGCATTTTGCTCCCTCGACGGGAAATTGGTCTTTGGACCTTCCTTTAGCATGCCTTTGTTACGGAGTGCGATTTTCAGTCTTAGTTTGGGAGCAGTATTGTCTCAAAGTCGATCAAACCGGTCGCAAGTGTCTTTGAAAAATCGTTGTGACTATTTTGGTCAACTTTGAGACAATACTGCTCCCAAACTAAGACTGATAATCGCACTCCGTAACAAAGGCATGCTAAAGGAAGATCCAAAGACCAATTGCCCGTTGAGGGAGCAAAAAGCCCGCCTCGGATCAGACGCAGTGGCTGCTTAAAATCGGCCCAAAACACGATTTTTCATAGACATTTCTGAGCGTTTCGGCCAACTTTGAGACAATACTGCTCCCAAACTAAGACTGAAAATTGCACTCCGTAAAAAAGGCATGCTAAAGGAAGGTCCAAAGACCAACTGCCCGTTGAGGGAGCAAAATGCCCGCCTCGGATCAGACGCAGTGGCTGCTTAAAATCGGCCCAAAACACGATTTTTCATAGACATTTCTGAGCGTTTCGGCCAACTTTGAGACAATACTGCCCCCAAAACTAAGACTGATAATTGCACTCCGTAACAAAGGCATGCTAAAGAAGGTCCAAAGACCAACTGCCCGTTGAGGGAGCAAAATGCCCGCCTCGGATCAGACGCAGTGGCTGCTTAAAATCGGCCCAAAACACGATTTTTCAAAGACACTGCTGACCGTTTCGGCCAACTTTGAGACAATACTGCTCCCAAACTAAGACTGATAATCGCACTCCGTAACAGAGGCATGCTAAAGGAAGGTCCAAAGACCAACTGCCCGTTGAGGGAGCAAAATGCGCGCCTCGGATCAGACGCTGTGGCTGCTTAAAATCGGCCCAAAACACGATTTTTCATAGACATTTCTGAGCGTTTCGGCCAACTTTGAGACAATACTGCTCCCAAACTAAGACTGATAATTGCACTCCGTAACAAAGGCATGCTAAAGAAGGTCCAAAGACCAACTGCCCGTTGAGGGAGCAAAATGCCCGCCTCGGATCAGACGCAGTGGCTGCTTAAAATGGGCCCAAAACACGATTTTTCAAAGACACTGCTGACCGTTTCGGCCAACTTTGAGACAATACTGCTCCCAAACTAAGACTGATAATCGCACTCCGTAACAGAGGCATGCTAATGGAAGGTCCAAAGACCAACTGCCCGTTAAGGGAGCAAAATGCCCGCCTCGGATCAGACGCTGTGGCTGCTTAAAATCAGCCCAAAACACGATTTTTCATAGACATTTCTGAGCGTTTTGGCCAACTTTGAGACAATACTGCTCCCAAACTAAGACTGTTAATTGCACTCCGTAACAAAGGCATGCTAAAGGAAGGTCCAAAGACCAGTTGCCCGTTGAGGGAGCAAACTGCCCGCCTCGGATCAGACGCCGTGGCATGTTAAAGGAGGGGTCCCGTGGGGTCGCGAAATTTTTCCTGGGGGTCGCGGAAATTTTTGGCTCCAAATTTGGGGTCGCGAGCCGAGAAAGGTTGAGAACCGCTGATCTAGGAAGCATCCAAGAAGTCGGGTGCAACGTCCGCGGGAGTCTGTGCCTTCATCGCGCAGTACGGGTTGGTCCATCGAGTGTGTCAGATCCCTCTGTTTCAACCGACCCGTTCGGC